ATCCCTGGGGGGGTTTCCAAGCCCTGGGGATGGTGCTGAGGGACACGGGGCAGTGGGGAATGGGCAGGGCTGGGGGGATGGGTGGGTTGGAGGATCCTAAAGGGCTTTTCCACCCTGAACAACTCCCTGGCTCACAGCTCCTCTGCAGACACCCCAGCCCTTCAGCAGCACCCAGCCCAAGCTGGCAGGTCCTGAGCACTTTGGAGCAGCCTGGGCTCAGCACCCACCCCAGCACCCAGAGCTCAAACCCTGCCCAGCTCCTCCCCAGCTCAGGTCCCCACTCACCGTTGGACACCGAGAGGTTTGCAAAGGTCTGCAGGACAAAATAGTGGGGCAGGATCCCGGGCTGGAACTTGGAGAGCACCTCCTCCATCACCTTGTTGATGAAACGCTGCCCCACGGCCACCAGGACGTTGCTGGCTGCCTCCTGCCAGTCCCTCACCACCTCCTGCAGGGACACGGGCAGCTGGGAGCCCAGCTTCAGCCTTTCATGGAGTCCCAGAATCCCAGACTGGTTTGGGTTGGAGGGACCTCAAAGCCCACCCAGTGCCCCCCTGCATGGGCAGGGACACCTCCCAGCAGCCCAGGCTGCTCCAAGCCCCATCCAACCTGCCCTTCAACACCCCCAGGGATGGGGCAGCCACAGCTTCCCTGGGCAACCTGGGCCAGGCTCTCCCCACCCTCACAGCCCAGAATTTCCTCCCCATGTCCAACCTCCAGCTCCCCAATCCCAGTGTTAACCCATTATGACCTTAAAGACGTTTTCCAACCCCAACGACCCCACGATTTCCTGCAGCAGCAGCAGCACCAGGAGGAAGGGGAGGAGCAGGCCCAGCTTTCCAGCCCTACCTTGGACTTGGTCATCTCGTTGGACGCCAGGAAAATCACCACCTTGGCCGTGCTCTTGTCCAGCAGGGAGATGTTCTCCTTCACCACGGTCTCCATGGCCTTGAGGATGATGACCCGGTGAGGATAGGCCAGCTGGAACAGGAGGGAAGGGAGCCTGGTGGCCCAAGCTGGCAGCACCTCTCCCCTGGGAGCAGGGCCCCCTGGGGCCAGGGACAGGGGGACACGGGGACAGGGGGCTCAGGGACACGGGGACAGGGGGACACGGGGACAGGGGGACACGGGGACAGGGGGACACAGGGACACAGGGACACGGGGACACAGGGACATGGGGACAGGGGGCTCAGGGACACAGGGAAACAGGGACACAGGGACAGGGGGACAGTGGGCTCAGGGACAGGGGGACACAGGGACACGGGGACAGGGGGACACAGGGACAGGGGGACACGGGGACACGGGGACATGGGGACAGAGGGACACAGGGACCA